GGAGCTGGATAGTGTCAAAATTGCAAATGAAAGGCTTTAGAACAACTCCTATTGGACTAAGGTGCTTTATTGCTTTGTTGGTCATGTGTGCACATGCGGGAGATTTTAACATTTATCAAGTTAAGCTTTAAGCACTAGAGCTAGCTTCTTGTGCTTATTGATTGTCAACTTATTTGTACTCTAGACCTTAAAATGCTAAAAAAATCCTGGGAATGGGCACATTTAAGTGCTCAATCAGGTTTTTTATTTTTTTGTTTCTTCATATCCATGTTTGGTGTAGCTCATGTGCCGTGTTTCATATTGGTGTGATTAGTTCTATTATTTGCTGCATTAGTCACGTGCTTATTTTAACAACTAAAATGAAGCATGGTCCAAACACCATCATTCAGGCCTATTGAGTTTGTCATATATGCTAACAGTAACAGCTTATACAAGTTTTAACCTAGATAACCTTATGTTCAATCCTTGAACATGGACATTAATGAAGGTGTATTTAGCTCAGATGCATTATTGCACCCTCAAGAAGTTCCATGTTATGAATCACAGCATATAGTACCCAGATTTACCATTTTAAATTTAAGATGTTTCACCACACATTTGGTCTGGAATGGTCAATGTGTTTGCCATAAATTATTTTCTTAAGTTTGTTTTCTCTTTGTGCAGTTAAGAGATTTCTAGAGCGTTGTTTACTTTCTTGTGGCCTGTGGCCACCCCTGGTCGATTAGTCGATTTGTCGAAAAGGTAAGAGCATCTTTGCAATCAATTAGATATCTTGACCTATAAGCACGGAAGATAGAGGGCTTGATATGGGTTTCCAACCCAAGTTATGAGAATTGTTGAGCAAATGGACATGGCTCCACCTGGTTTCAGGCTATAGACCATACTATTTTGTGTGACTTTCCCAAAGGAAATCCAGGTTACCTATTCTTTTGATTTCTTACCATAACAGTGATGTTAAACCTATGCATTGCATGCATATAAGCATCCCTGTATAAAATTAAAAGCTGTTCTTCCTATAATTTGTGGTCCTCATCACACTTTTGTATTGTTTCTTCTTACTGTTATCAAGTGGGACTTACTGCCGTCTTCATTGATTCAGATATGGCATCAGGATTCACGTAGGCTTCATAAGCATTGGCATAGTCTGCAACAAGAGCTTCCTAGCAGGGTGGACTCTTCGAGGACACTTTCACATGTCATGCCACTAGCTCTTTAACAAGCAGCCAAAGAGCACATGTAGCCTATGAATGTTTTGGTTCAGAACTTCTCTGTTTAGTGCATATTTTTTTCAAGAAGGGATTAGTCGTTGTGTCCACTCATGCTTTTCTATAAGATTGCGCTTGCAACGCAGTTAATTAAGTTTTGCTATTTTCATTCCTCATATATTTTCCATGCTCCTCTTATTGTCTTTGTTTTCTCTACCGCACATCACGAAAATCACACTCAAAGCATCCCTTTTTCTTTAGTAAAGGTATAACATTATTAGACTTCAATTGTTATGATTGTATTTGTTTTTTTTGTTCCCGTAGCAACACACGGGTATGAACCTATATATAGAACTAATAAATCTATTTGTTAAGTTTTGCCATGTTCATTTATCATATGTTTTCCCTCTTATTGCCTTTGTTTTCTTTACTACGGCACATCGCGAAAAACACACTCCGAACATCATTTTTTGGTAAATGTATAACACACATTTAGATTTTGATTGCCGTGGTCTTATTTGTTGCGTTCTTGTAGCAATGCACGGGCACGAACTTTGCTTTTTTCATTAAATGTCACTTTAATGTCGGTATTTATTTTCACAATATTATTATCTTATCGTGCGATCCGTGTATTTTAAGTACAAAAGTTTAGTTGTCCTGTAGCAATGCACGGGCACGCTACCTAGTAATGACTAATTGTAGCAGATGAGTACACGTATATTTAATAATCAGCCAATGTTATCTTTAATTTTCATCATACGGATTGCCTTAAATACTTTGATTTTTGTTGCAAGAAATACTTCAGTCTTCCCCAAATATTATAAGAATATATATTTTTCCTTTCCCTATGTCATCATGCACCCTTTTTCTCACGTATGAAAATACCATGTGTGAATATTATCTTTCACTTTCACCATACTGTGATTGCCTTAACTACTATAATTTTTGTTATAAAATTATATAAAAAAAATACTTCAGTCTTCACCAAATATTATCTGGTGAATAATTGGGAACCGTTTTGAATATATTTTCCTTTCCCTGTGTCATACGCCCTTTTTCTCACGTATGAAAATACAATGCGTGTGTGAATATTTGGTTTCATTGACTTTTTCAGATTTTTGTATAGCTGAAATGCACTCCGAACATTGGATGCATTTTTAATTCCACGATTTCTTCAGAAAGCTTTCTACTTTCTAGTTTCACCTGATCACTACCTAAGTTTGATCATCTAATTCCCGAGCTAAATCCCACTAGATATTTTATATCTTTATTCAAGGTATCCATATCATTTTTCACTAAGTGTCCCACTAACTTACAATCCTTTCATCCAATCTATCTATATCATCCCTTACTTAATTACAAAAAAATATCAACATCATCTCTATTATGTGCAATACTCTTAATCTTATAATCTAAAGTCATCTACATATGTTATTTGTTTCATCACCTATTCTTCTATAATGTCGTCAAATATTCTATTGGTTTCTCTTCTATTAGCTTACCGATTTTTTACCAGATGCGATACAATAAAATAACATGCAAGTCAAATTCATATACACACACCATATAGTAATTCTATATATAAAATAGATTTATTTTGAAGAAAAACTCGCGGCAATCGCGGGATATGCTTCTAGTAGATATTAATGCTACAGTGCTTAATTATGCCAATGTTAGAGAGGCTAAAGCTGCTATGAGCTGCGGTGGCATGTTTGTTTGGACTTCTTGGTAGCTTTTACACATCATCTTTTGGAGCTTCTAATAGCCAAAAAGCTCAAGCTCATTATAGTAATCTTTTAGGCTTTTGGCTTATGAGAGTTATTTGATTTTTGTAAAGTCTAAAAGCTAGTAGTCATAAAGTGATAAAAAACTCAAATAAATAGGGCGGCAGGTAAAGATGAGCATGCAGCCCGATGGCCCGGCACAAGGATCGATTTTTTGGCCCGGCCCGGAGGACCAGGCCATGCTTGGGCTCCTCCCCCAGCCTGGCGAGCGGCTCGGCCTGGCCCGGTAAAATCCGCCAGGCCCGGTGGAGGCCGGGTGCCTAGCAGCATCGCATCCTATTTCCATTGTAACCCTGACTACTTTCATCCCACTTCCCACGTCCCATCCCCGCGCCGCACTCGGCTTGCGCGGACGCGCGTTGCAGTCACGACCTCGCCTCCTCCTCGACCCCCGCGCCACCGATCGCCTCCTCCACGCCCGCACCATCGATGGCGAAATCTAGTCGGCAGTCTACCGAGGGGTATACCCACGGTAGTAGATGATTGGTGGAGGTGCGTGTAATAGAAACCGGATGGTGACACAAGCGCAGAGACAACAATTTAGACAGGTTTGGGCCGCTTGATCGACGTAATACCCTACGTCCTGTGTCTTCGGTGGATTGTATTGAATATGAGATGCATTCGAGGGGGTCCCTACCTGCCTTATATAGTCTGGAGGGTAGGGTTACAGGTCGGTTTAGGTCTAGATTTATTCGGCTATATGGTAAGTATTTACAAGGAATACGATATCTATCATATCCGAGCAGATCTTCCTTCGTCGCCAAGATGTCTTCTGATTGCCTTGCGGTGCACGCCGACCAGAGCCGAGCACCGTAGGCCTTGATCTTATGGGCCGGACCTCCCCTGGTGGTGCGGCCCATGTCCATTGCCGTGGGTACCTGGGGTTATACCCCCCACAGCCACCTCCTCCTTGTCCCCTGCACCAGCGGTCGTTTGCTCCTCCTCCATGGTCCAAGCCTCCCGCGTGGCCGCACCGCCGGTGCCGGCCTCAAGCGCGGCGACGTCAAGCGGCGGCGGCAGCCGCGTCCTCCTCGCACCCACGCGGCGGCCTCGATCTCCCGTCATCCTCCTTCTGACTCGGTGGCCTCAAGCTCCCTCGCTCCTTCGCGACGCGGCGGCCTCGCTCCCTCCCTCCTCCTTTGCGATGCGGCGGCGGCGCTCGGTGGCATGGACGCGGGCCTCAAATCGGCCTGTCTGCTAAAAAGGTCGTTCTTTTCTGGGCCGGCCCAGCAGAAAGGTGGCCCGACAGGCCATGCCTAGGCCATCGGCCAGGCACGAAGGACTGGGATGGCATGGCCTGACGGCATGTTGGGCTGTGCTGGGCCGGATGGCCCGTTTGCTCATCTATACGGGCAGGTGGTCGTGGTTCTTCGCTCTTTGGTGTACGCTGACCACTCTCTCAGACGGCCAGGTGGTCAACGTCGTGTTTATCTGCCCGAACCTGGGCAAGCCTGGTAGCGTCTCTTGTGTGAGCTGGACACGGCAACGGGCACGAGTCGGCTCCCAATTTCGCGCGGAGACGGTCCCGCCCATGTGTCCCAGGGCGCCGCTCCCGTCGCACCACGTCCCGAGCCCTCATGGCGCCGTCATCACATCGCTGGGGACGTCGTACTACCACGCCGCGGCTCAGCTACATACACGACGACTTTGCTTCCCATTTCTGCAGCGCAAGTGACATCGCCAAAGGGAAGGAAAGGAAACCACCCTCAACCAAGACGAGCAAGGCACGAGCGAGGGTAAGCCCATGTTTAGTTAAAAAAAACTTTCCAAAAAGTGCTACAGTAGCCATCACATCGAATCTTGCGATACGTGCATGGAGCATTAAATATAGACGAAAAAAACTAATTGCACAGTTTGGTTGGAAATCGCGAGACGAACGTTTTGAGTCTAATTAGTTCATGATTGAACACTAATTGCCAAATAAAAACGAAAGTGCTACGGTAGTCAAATTCCAACTTTCCCCAACTAAACACGCCCTAAAGGCCACGCAGCGCGCAGGCAGACAGGCAGAATGTCGGGAGCACAGGGCGCGCACCCGGTGGGGCAGACGACGCCGACGACGTACGAGTCGGTGGGCGGCGAGGAGAACCGCACGCGCACGGACCTGCGGTCGCGGGAGGACCAGGGCGCCATCCAGATCGAGAAGGTGCAGGACAAGGTTGACGACGCCGCGGGCCGTGGAGTGGACCGCAGCACCTTAAGCGCCAAGAAGGAGCGCCCCGACGACAGCGCCGATGCCGGGGCAACCGGCACCGGCGGCACTGCCGCGTGATTGTGGGAGATCCGGCGATGGTTTGTGGTGCCCTTGTGCGGCACTGTACGTGTGCGTGTGTATGATGATAGCTTTGTGTGCGCTGCATAGCTGCTCTGTCTACGTGCGTGTGGACTGTGAAACCTTTCTGTAGCGTGCGTATGCAATCAGTAGTAGTGTAAGATAGTAGATTGCAATGAAGTAAGGACCGTCTGAATCCTACTTAGTGCTCCCTCAATTCGGAAAACAACGTGTACGACGAGGAGCAATCTTCTCTGACCGGTCCTCTCCAAAAATTTACATTAATATCAAAGCAACCAGGTAACTAATTACTATAATACTAGACTCATTCGCTTTATGGTTAGGATTTTGGAGCAGCAAGAACATAAAACAGCGCAGGCTCTTTGACGCCACCAGCATTGGGGATTCAGCACCAACCGCATGGAACGTGTGGCCTTGTGAAGGGAGGATTCAGACTGAGCCTGCCTTCCGCCGTGCCGCAGCCTTTGCTGCTAGCATACCCATTCCACCGCAGCATCACCAGCGGCAAGACCGAGCTACCTCCGCGGCTCCGCCGTGCCGCAGCGGCGCAGCCTAGAGATCCCTAGAGCATAGACCCATTCGTCGTACAGTTAGGATTTTGAATCGCCGCACAGTTAGGGGTTTTTTTTTTGAAACTCGTACAGTTACGATTTTGGGAGTTAGGACTTTAAATACCACAGTATAATTAGGATTTTGGATGTAGCAGCCTCTGCCGCCGCATCCTACCACTCGTTCGCTGTACAGTTGGATTTTGGAGCATCAAGAACATGAAACGGCGGAATGCTAGCGACCGGATGCCCTAATGGACGTGCGCGGATGCCTGCACTTGCACCCTATTCGAGCGTCTGTACTTTATCCCGCGCCAGCCAAACGTAGTGTCTGCGTCCTCCCCTCCTGACCCCATGTGACGTCTGCGCCCCACTCTGACCCCTCGCGTCCTCTAGCAGTTGCAGCGAGTGGGTGACATTGTCGTATGTCCAACACTCTGATCTACTTTTGAAACATTCAGATACAACACTTGCAACATACGTCTGAAGATAGATGAAACACTTGAAAAAAAACACATAAAACGCTTGAAAACCACTGCAAACATAAACAACATTTACATAAAATATTTGCAACATATGTGAGAAACATATGCAACATCTAGATAAACATACTTGCAATATACGTCTAAAAACACAAATGAAACATTGCGGACAGACGCTGTCGGGGACAATCCTAGGGTACCCGAAGAGGAGAAGCTGATAACCATCAACGTTGATTCATCCGAGCAGTCAAGAGTGCGACTACAGCTCCAACCGATCCCCATGTGCGTAAGATCCGCCTCACCCGGCCTTTGAGGGCGGACTCCGCCTCACCCGACCTCTAGGGGCGGACTCCACCTCGTCCGGCCTCTGAGGACGGACTCCGCCTCGCCCGACCGAAGCCGCGGGCTCCGCCTCGCCCGACACCGAAGCCGCGGGGTCCGCCTCGCCCGACCTTTGAGGGTTGGCTCCGTCTCGACCGACCTCTGAGGGTGGACTCCGCTTCGCTCGACCCCTGAGGGCTGGCTCTGCCTCGCCTGACCCCTGAGGGCTGGCTTCGCCTCACCCGACCTCTGAGGGCTAGCTCTGCCTCGCCCGGCCTCTGAGGGTGGGCTCACCCCTGACCTCTAAGGGCTGGCTCTGCCCCGCCCGGCCTCTGAGGGTGGGCTCCGCCTCGCCCGACCCCTGAGGGTTGGCTTCGCCTCGCCCGACCTCTGCCGTCTCGCCCGACCTCTGAGGGTTGGCTCTGCCCCGCCCGGCCTCTGAGGGTGGGCTCCGCCTCGCCCGACCCCTGAGGGTTGGCTTCGCCTCGCCCGACCTCTGCCGTCTCGCCCGACCTCTGAGGGTTGGCTCCGCCCCGCCCGGCCTCTGAGGGCGGGCTCCGCCTCGCCCGACCTCTAAGGGCTGGCTCCGCCCCGCCCGGCCTCTGAGGGCGGGCTCCGCCTCGCCCGACCTCTGAGGGCTGGTTCTGCCCCCCCGGCCTCTGAGGGCGGGCTCCGCCTCGCCCGACCTCTGGGGATCCGTCTCACTCGACGAAGACCCATACCGCCGCCAACCACTCCAGGCCCAAGCGAGTGGGCCTGGGTCAAAGCTCTAACACCAGAGAGGTGACCGGCATGCCCCGATATAACCCGTGGTCGTGGCGGGCCATACATGGGGATTCACATCAAGAACAGTGTTGGATGTACCGGTGCTGTTCTACCTAACCCTCGTACGAACACTAACAGGGGAGTCAGTTCACCATGACGTCCGTTAGGACGGAGTGGAGCGCCACGATCGGGAGACGACGCCTACGCATGGCGCCAGTGACGGACAGGGCCGCAACGTGGAGCTGTCCCTGTTGACGTCTACAGGGTCGGCGGGACCCACATGAAGGAAAAGGAGGACCGAGCGATCCTGGAGAACTTCTTCTCCTTTTGATTATCCTCTTTTCCCTCCACTGTAACCCGTGCTTTCCCTTGGCCTATAAAAGGGAAAGCAGGGCGTCCCATTAGGGGGCATCAGACTCGAATCTGATCAACTGATCAAACCCCGAACACACAGCCGAGCAGCGATCGAGCTCTCGGCACCCATTCGTTCCTTCCACCAGAGAGTTGGGACCTATCCCTCTCTCACCTGTTTGTAACCCCTACTACGAACTTTCAGTACTAGTAACACGAGCAGCAGCAACGAACTGGACGTAGGGACATTCTGCCCGAACCAGTATAAACCTCGTGTCCTCTTAGCACACCATCCGAGCCAGACGCACAATATTAGAAATTTACTAGCCGGTGGCAACTCGAAACACCGACAGTTGGCGCGCCAGGTAGGGGCCTTTTGCACGTCTCGACATCAACACTAGGCTTCGGATGGATAGGCACAACATCAGCTGGGCCCTGGGCGCGCACGTGCGCTTCGGGGACCTAGACTTCATCGTCATGATGGAGGGAGACCTGGTGCGGGCTCCCGCCACCGTCCAACCTCTCCACTTCACCGACCTCGACGCGATCGCTGAGGCACTTGAGGAGCTACGACTGCACGACCCGGGGGTCCATGCCCCCTAGGGCAACTAGCTCCTTGGCTTCGACTACGGAAGGTTAGAGCGCCAGCTTGTTGCCTTCCTAGGACCCCGACTGTCCCGGGAGGACCTACGTCACCTCACCTTCTAATTCGCCAACGCCATGACATAGCTTGCTGAGAGAGGGAGCCCCTCTCCCCAGAATACCTAAACCAGAGCGCCCCGACAATGCTCCTGTTCAGTCTCCGCAATGCCGCAGAGATCGGTGGCCACCTTGTGGCGCAACGTACGCCTCCATCCCCCGCGAATGATGAGTTCATGGGGATGACCGAATATGTCGTGGAGTCTTTCCACGACCTCCTCACGGGAGAAACAGAGTTGCCCTCCACCTCTGACTCAAGTAGGGAGAGCCATCACCCCTCTCGTGAATGTTTTATGGCAAGTACCACCGAGGGACACGTCGAAAGCATCCACGAGGAGGAGGCTACCCCGACGAATGACCTCGACGACAAGGTCGAGGGGGATGCAGCCACCCCACCCCGCCTGCGGGTGGAGCAGTTGAAGGCCCGGCACCAAGAGCTCGAGGAAGCGCGACTCCAGCTCGAGCAAGAGCGCATGGAGCTCGATCGAGAGATCGAGCACCGTGAGGACAGTGGGCGCGCGCGCCATGGCCCGCGATGTGATTCGGAGGATCATCAAGGATGATGAGGCACTCCCACACTTCGTCCGGGCGAGCCAGAACATCGCTGCTGCGGCGGCCTTGCTCCGAGGGCTTCCAGGGCCGGCGATGCCCGAGGATCGTCAGGCCCATCGTGAGATTCGCATGCTGCTCGAGCGTGCAGTGGCACAGTAGGTCGAGAGCTTGCTGTCCCGACGATGTGAGCTCGACGCCAGCCAACATGCACCCTCGGAGCGACCCAATATGGACGCATTAGTCCACCAGGTGCCACAAGGCGGCAGGTTGTGTGCCACGGTCCCAGTGCATCAGCGTCTCGGTCGCAACCATGACACGCGTAACACACTTGACGCCCGTAGGCGTGCCTACGGTGATCCGAGGGAGGGAGCTAGCCATGGTCATGGTGGACGCTATGACAGTGGCAAGGACCGAAGCCCGAACCCTGGCCTGCTGGGACCTTAGGCCTTCGGCCAACACATCCTCAATGCCGCCTTCCCGCCACAGTATCGACCACCAACCAACATCCCAAAGTACTCCGGGGAAACAAACCCCGAATTGTGGCCCGAGGACGGATAACGATGATTTCATTATCCGCTATATTCCATTGTTCCTGGCCAATTCGGCACGAGCATGGTTGGAACACCTTCCGCCCAACAGAGTCCAAAGTTGGGCGGACCTGAGAGAGATCTTTGTGTGGAATTTCCAGGGCACGTACAAGCGTCTTAGAAACCCATGGGATCTCAAAAACCGCCGATAGAAAGCCAGAGAAACCCTTCGTGGATACATCCGGTGCTTCTCTCGGCAGTGCAATGAGCTACCCAACGTCGATGTCATAGGAGCCTTCCTGTCTGGATCCACTTGCGAGTCCCTGATTCACAAGCTGGGACGTAAGGGCCCGCGAACCACCAAGGAGCTCCTCGACATCACCACCAGCCATGCCTTGGGCGAGGAGGCGGTCGGAGCGATCTTCGACCGCCCCAAGGGCAAGGCAAAGCGGGATGAGGACACCAGCGAAGGCGCCTCCAACTATCCCAGCAAGAAGAAGAACAAGCAACGGCGCGAGGGCTCGCTCGTGGCCGCCGCCGACCGCAGAGGGGGTCGGAAGCCCGCGGGGGTACCCCTAACCACTTTAAAAAGCTGCTCGAAGGGCCATGCTCCAACCATGCCTTCCCCGTCATGCATCTATATAAGGACTGTAGCCTTATGAAGTGGTTCCTGTCCGGAGACTCCAACAAGGGGAGCATGGGAAGGACCCCAAGCCGACCACGGACGACGCCGA